GCAGTGGGTCACGAAACGAACTAGTGGGTATCGATTAGGGTATCGATTGGGTATCGATTACGGCATCGATTGCCTAGCCACAAACCACACGGAAAATTATGGCATACATGCCGCGGCAGCACTGACATGTCACAACAGATGATCTTTGTTGATCGTATCGCTTTTGGGGGGGGGTCTTATCGCTTTCCAAGGAAAGTAGCAAAATCCGGCATTCCACGGTCACCCTAGTCTTGACTACAATTACGGAAGTTTTGACGGATGCTCATATGACTATAATGAGGAATTACGGTTCAGGGGTGTGTTGGTTTAGGATTTAGGGGCTTAGGGTTTTGGGGTTTTTGGGTTTAGGGTATGGGGTTTAGGACTTGGGGTTGGGGTTTTGGATTCAATTTCGAGGTATCCTCATCATCGTCTTGCTTAGGGTGCGCTTTAACGACAGGAACGCTGTTGTACACGGCCCGGCCTTCGTCAGCTGCTGCTGCACACCACTGCTGTCTCCACCAAACATCGCGTCGCCCCAAGTAACCACGCTGCCATCTGAAGGGGTTTCGGGGGTTTACAGGTGGTTGTAGGGGCTTAGGGCTCAGAGGGGTTTGCGGCTTACAGGGCGTAGGGTTCAAAAGGGTCGACGGCTCAGCACTTCGCCGGGCTGATACGCTGATACGTTTGATTCTTTCTGGCGTTCACGGGCTCCCGACGACATGAAGGCAGTGTCCGAGTTTACAGGGCTTGCAACCGGGTCCATGGTAGTCTCTCAGCATACACACGTGCATACACGCATACATACTTTTACTTACTTGATTTTACATCTCATACCATATCCCTATATGTATATATATATATATATATCTACATATATGTACATAGTATACAGGCAGACATACACGTGTATATCATCCGTCCTGCGCGCACAGCTGCGAAGGCGCGGGAGGAGACTTCGATGTGCTGCACGTCCTCGAGGCTATCGAAGACAGCAGAACTGTCTCCGCCGCAGCCGGGATCTCCCCAAGTAACAACCTTACGGACGAAATTTACCCTAAAAAGGGTTTCGGGTCCAAAAGATATGATAGGGATTCATAGTCTAAGAGTATATGAGGCCCCAACTTTTAGGGATCGTTTGCTCCCCAAGGAACCCGACCATTCGCCAGTAGAGCAGCAAAGGCTGCATCTGAGGCCTTCAAGCGCAGTACGGCCTTTAAAGAGTGCTGCACCTTGGAAGAATCCCCGCCCGATTCTGCATCGCCCCAGGTGACGATGCCTCCGTCAGCCAGGATCGCAGCAAAGGCCCTCTCAGAGGCATCGATGTGCCGGACATTTTTGAGGCGCTCTTGAACGTGGCGAGTGTCACCACCACAGGCCACATCGCCCCAGGCCACCACGCTCCCATCTGTCAGCAGTGCAGCAAAGGCAGATCTGGTCGCACTGATCACCTGACACGTGTTGTACACCATCGTATCCAGTTCAAAGAGGGCATGAAAGCCCAGAGTGAACCTGACCTAACCATACACGTTCTACAGACAGGCAACCCTGCGTTGGAGAAAGTCCCACCTGCACGTTTCTGAGCTGTGCTTCGATCGTCCGGCTATCACCTCTTGAAGCCGCCTCGCCCCAACTAACCACGCTGCCATCCGCGAGGATCGCAGCGAAGGCGCAGCGAAAGGCAAAGAGCTCGACCACGTCCTGTAGCTTCTCCTTCGGGTGTGTTTGGCTGCACCCTCTCGTGCAATCTAAGTGCTGCATCCTGGCATTGTGCTAGGGTGGGTCCTCGAGGCAACATGTCCATCATTTGTTGAAAGCAATAAAGTAGCAGTAAGGTACGGCAAACCGAGCTGCTTTTGATATTGGAGACCCAAACGGGCATTGCGAACGGAATACTATCGCGAAACTTGAACTGTTCACAAGTCCTGGACGGCCCCGCTGTCCCCGCCGGACAGGTCGTCCCCCCAAGTCACCACCTCTGGAATTCGGGAAATTCGGCATCTTCCGTGGAACTTGATTCGAGGCATATGGGGGCTTTTCGGATTTTGCTTGTGGGCTTGCAATTTTGAGGTGCTTGGGTTTTGGGGGAGTGCTTCGCAAGATAAACTCTGCAACAACAAACACTGCAGAGGGAAGCTTCCGGGAACAGATGCGCACACACGGTCGATGCTGGGTACCAACTAGATAGCTACTTCGAGGCAAGGTCAACTCAGGAGGCTATTGCAGCTGAAGGCTTGCATATACGTGAGTGAAACCTTGACACCCATGCATGGCGAAGAGTCCTGTGCTGCTGCACCAAGCCGTACAGCCCAACTAGCACCTCATTTTGCAAAATGCCACAACTGACCCTTAAGATTTCATCTCTGGCATCCGTGGTGAACCTCACACTTTGCGAATCCCAATCTCGGGAGAATCAACCACACACCTTAAGGATCCTTGCATATTTACCTAGGATCCTCATATGGCGGGGTTTGGGTTTTAAGCTTTGGGGTCTAGCCGTAGGCTCCCTAGTAGTTCCTTTTGGGGGATTACCTTATAGGATTCTAAATGGGCCAAGGCCACGCTCCCATTGGCGAGGATGGCTGCGCAGGCCCCAGAACTCACCCGGACTTCCTGGACCTGCTCAAATTACCCTAAGGGTCCATGCACCCAAATAGCAGATAGTTTGGCCCCAAAGTACTCAAATAGGGACTACTTTAAGGCCAACGTATCTGCTATTTGGGTACATTTTCCACTTGGGAAATGAGGGCTCTGGGATTTTTAGGGCTTTGGGTTCGGGAAGGTCGCGGGTCATGGTAAGGTTTCAGGTTTCCGGATTGGCTAGGGAGGGGGGGGGGGTTTACAAGCTTTTAGTTGGCTTTCTGCGAACTTTAGTGAGGTTTCGGAGTTCGAAGGGATGTTTGGCATTTTGAGCTTTACCCATAGGCTCCTCAGTAGTTCCTTTTGATGCTTCATATTTAGAATCCTATAAGGTAATCCCAAGAGGAACTACTAATTCTGAGGAGCCTATGGGTAGGCCTTAGAGGTTTCGGGTACCCGTCTTCGGCAGGGCGTCTGAAACCTGAAAGGTTTCCGGGGCCAGATGGGTCGGGGAACGCTGCAGTGATTTTGGGGTGAGGGCTCTAGGCATGGAAAGGCAGATTAGGGTCAAGAGTTTAGGACTTAGGGCTTAGGAGTTTAGGGCTTAGGGTTTAGCCCTCAACCTTAGACAACCTGAAGCCTTCCAACTTACGAGGTGGAAGAGGTCGAAGGGCTAAAGCCACCTGGGCCCTGAAGAAGCCGGGTCGTGGCAAACCCTCTCTAACCCTGCATAGGCCCTATTTAAACCCCAAACCGGAGCCCATTGCCTAAACAAGAAAATCTACAATAGAAGCCTAAATAGTTACCAATATTATTCCTTAGGTTCCCGTATTATAATTACACTATGCGTATACTATAAAAGGAGCCCAAAAGCCTATTCTACCAATTATTAAGGCCCCTACATTAATCTAAACCCTAAACCCTGAACCCCTAAACCCCTAAACCCTAAAGCCCTAAACCCCTAAACCCCTAAACCCTAAGCCCTGAGCTGCTGCCAGAGGGGCATCCCGGAGCTTCTCCTGGACGGCGCTGCAGTCGCCACCATAGGCCGAATCGCCCCAAACCTGCTTTCACAACCGTTCAGGGATGACGATTAGGCTTTAAGAAAACCCTAAACCCCAAACTTTACAAAGTTTAGGAGAGGGCTCATAGGGTTTAGAGTATAAAGTTAGGGGAGGGCTTATAGGGTTTAGAGCCTCAGGCTTAAGGCTTTCCCTGGCTTTGGGATTTAGAGCTTTTCAATGCTGGGACCGCTAATACAGGCTCCAGGGGCTTATAGTCGTTAAGGGCTTCCGATTCCTAAACCCCTAAACCCTAAACCCCAAACCTTAAACCTTTGTCATAGAAGCCTCTGGGGCTGATGGTTTCCTGGACTTTTGAACCCGGAGATGCCGAACTCCCAACCCGAGTCTACACATTTGCAGGAGAGCAGGCTTGAACTAGGGGAGCTAAGAAAGGCTCAGGATTGTGGCCCATGACCTCATCTTGGGATCAAGAGGTAGATGCAGGGTCTATTCCAGGATGCACGTGTTGCTGATGGGGCTTAGAGTTTAGGGGTTAGGCTACATACTCCACCAGGCCACTACTCCACACTCGAAGCCGACTGCCTATTCCAGCAACTCTCCTTGAAGCCCAGTTTGGGGTTCAGGGCTTGGGGGTAGACCCACCATGCAACAACCAACCCGGAAAGTCCCTGCAAAATCCGGACGATGAAACTGCCGAAACTCTGAAGATACTGTTGATGATATACATCCTGCATTACCTTAAGGACCCCAAACTATGGGAATTATGGTATATTCCTTATTATGGCTTATTATGGGTAATGCAGGACTTATATCATCAACCGTACTATACCAGAACCGCCCCTAAGCGTGAGAGGTGCCCTTACGGAGCCGTCGCTGTGAACGAGGGCAACGGCAGATGCCCCTCGGGAGCGGGAGCTGAGATTCTCTCGGGGATTGGTGCTGGTTCTCTCTCTTATCTACATACTGTGAATATGACGTCTCTAGAAACATTAATTATACATATAGATTATATAATATATAGTATGTGTTATATGCGTATACATTGCATTCCTAATATCATTGTTGGTAACCTGCTCGGCTGGACAAAAGACTTGTTGTGGCGCGATATACCTTAGCATGGCTGATGCTCACTAAAGCAGTCTAAACAACCCACAACATCCGTTGTTTGAGTTGACAACAAACCCCAAAGCCCTTGCAGAAATCCTATTGCAACCCTTCTCTTGTGAAAGCTTCTAGAACCCCAGAACCACAAAACCAAACCCCACACACGAAAGCACTTGTTGAACGTTCTTGGGACCCGATTACAACCCTTGATCATGTAACCTGTGTCAGACCCTAGTGAATGCCTAAACTAAAAACTTTAAGCCTTACCTACAACACCAAACCCTAAACCCTAAAACCTAAACAAAAACCTAAACCTAAACCCTGAGGCCTAAACCTAAGCACGAAACCCTAAACCTTTGGAAGACTTGGCAAGCAAGGAGCCGGGGCTCGAGTAGAGCGCCGGGCGCCGGAGCGTAGCAAAGACGGTGTCACCGTCTTTGAGCCCGGCGACCTCCAACCTATGCTTTTCGGGCCTCTATACAAGTTTACTACACTAAGGATGACTATAGGAGGTGTCGAATTGGGATCAACACAAACAATCATCGTAATCATGGGTTAAAGTCTGCTACAGGATTGTAAGAGACTCTTGCGCGATTTTGCAAGAAGCCGCTAAGGGATGCCACAAAGTATGTTGTTGGCGACTTTGTTCTTCAAGTCTGCAGGTGAAGCATCTGTCGGAGTCTCATGTTCATTTAGTCTCCTGTTGCCATGACCATTATGTTACCGTGGCTATTCATAGTAGTATATTCATAGTAGTATTCGTAGTATTCGTATTCACTAGAAATTCTTACAACTCTTGTTACTGCCATTGCGGTTCCCTTAATTGTGCCCTCAGGACTGTGGTCTGTTTGCTGCGATTGCCACACAACGCGCTTGAAACATGTTTGTTGTACGTTAAATGCTAGTACTAGTAACCCCAAAGACCCCATAGAAACCCTGTGAGACCTCCTAGACGTAGCCGCAGCCGGTGTCCGAACTAGCTTAATTACCCAAACCCTACAAAACCCACAGGGCCTAGGCTCCCTATCTACACCCCCTAAACCCGAAAGACAGACCCCAGCAGCGTCCACTTGTGCTTCAGCTGGAGGCCACCGGCAGCAGCCATGGAACTGATACGGCTTCCCCAATGCTCGGCCACTCGGGACCTGTTCAACTTCGTGCCTTATGCAGGGTTCTAGGGTTCAGAGCTTGGGGTTTAGGGGGCTGAGCCCGAAACCTAGAACCTCAACCCTCCCGAAAGTACGCATTGTAGAATGTCGGGGCCCTAGTGTGTTGAACAGGGCTTTTAGGGTTTATGTTCATGTGTTGTAGTATAACTCACTTTCACGTCCGGACTATACGGGGGATATGAGTAGCAATGGTGCAGAACCATGCACAGTAGTATCCTGAAGTGTCTGCAGGACAAACTCGGCGGCTTTCTGGTCTCGTACAGATCCTACTTCACAGTTGTTATTGAGGATTTTCGCATCCTCAGGACGCAGGGGACTTCATCAAAATCCTTGATGCCCAAACATGCGCTGCTATTAACTCCGGTGTTTGTATGATGCCGCGGTTTTTCGCTGCCCGGTAGCATGATGCATGAACCCCTACGTTCCGTGCAGACGTCCAGTCAGAGCTGCTTTCAAGCCTTGAAGCAACCCAGCCCTCCCTTCAAAGAGAGCCGCCCAATACCCCTGCATTAAGGAATATACAGTATGATTTATTAAATCATACTATTAGGGCCCCTATAATTTAAGGTATATTCCTTAATTCAGGGGTATTGGGCTCTCCGGGTTCAAAGGCCTGAGATCTCCGATGGTCCATTGCAGCTCGGATACTATGCAGACTGATTGGCCACTCAGCAGGGCGACATGAATTGAGATGCTGGTTTGCATCTTGGGCTATGGACAACCGCCGCTGCTAGCAACCCGGAGAAAATCAGACAAGCTCAGGAACAAGATGCTCTTTGCAAACGGTACGATGGCTGGAATTCCGATCTCTAACTGGCTCGAACTTCCATCCTCAACCTTATAACCCCAAACTGACAAAAGAGCTTCAGAGCCCAGGCGTAGCCTTTTGTAGGACTATTCGTACAAAGTCGAGTTAGACAGTTGCTACTACAGCTTACAAAAATCACGACTGTTGCCATTAGCTGGTGCAAGAAGCCGCCCTAAAACAGGCGGCTAGGGGGATTGAGTGGCGACTGTGGCTTTTGCCAGTTGTGCCGCATCCCCCGAATTAAGCTGCTGGAGCCCGGTGCGGGTTTGAGCATGCATGCATATTGATGAAATCGCCAGGCAGACATGCTACAGCTGCGCTAGTAGTCCTGAAGCACTCGAATCAGGAACAATAACTGATAACTGCAACAATATGAACAAAACCATGAAACACGATGCAGGAACCCCCACTTCCCACAGAGCATCTGCAAAGCCACGCTACCAGTGAACAGAAGGAGGTGAGCAGGTACTACATTCATGCAGTTTTCTTCTGGAGTCACACTCCGAGATGATCGATTCGCAATGCCACAGGTTCAGGGGCACCGCTAGATTCGCGACTCGATATACTGTTGCAACTGGACTAGCACCTCCGAAGATGTTTTAAGTTATGAGTGCAGGTGCAAGTTTCTCCATCTGTTGATCGTATAGGTGCTCGGTCGTACATGCCGAACCCTACCGAACCCTACACCGCACTCTATAATTCGCTTATGCCGATGCTGAGTCCTTGAGACTCTTACGCCTAGACGACAAACAACCGCCCTGCTCTTAAGGCCCCATGCTCTAAAGGCGCCCTAAACCCTGAGCCGTCACTGCCCAAAACCTCTGAACTCGCCCCAAAACCCTGCAGCACAAACCCTGAACAACCTAAGCCCTACAACCAAAAACCCTAGACCCTAAAACCCCCTAACCCGAAGCCCCCCAAACCTCTTCAAAACGGCCCTGGGCAACCAGGCCTTCCCATCTGGAACCCAGGATCCTCTCCGACCTGCACACGGTCTAGGATTCAAGGTGCAGGGGTTAGGGTTTAAGGTTTAGGGTACCCTATCTGGCGAAACTTCCAAATAGTCCAGGACCCTTTGGGTTAACCGCTTGGCAAGAAATGGATTGTTTGAAGCGTTGCACTTCGACACCTGCCCACTGCCCACAAGATGCACCGCCGAAGGCATGCGCACAGCAAATCGCCGATGCGTTCAGGTGTGCGGTGCTGGCAAGATGCCTCATGTCAGGGATTTTGTGAAACAGAAAGAAGCCCGAACCCCATGGAATCCCCAGAGACACACCAAGAGTGCCGATGCCCCCAAGTCTGGAGCCACAAACCCTCCAATTTGATCCCTGGCAACCCTAAACCCTCAACCCCAACCCCCTAAGCCGTGAAGGCTGAGCACTTAGAGTGTGGAGGGTGTGCCTCGATCTTGCCGACAGGCCCGAGACCGACGCTGAAGCGCCTGCAGTAGTAGTAGTAGTAGTAGTAGTAATAATAATAATGAACTTGGTGGGTTACTGGGGTTGCGGGTTTCGGAGTTACAACGCTTCGTGCAGGTTCCGCTGGCTCGGTTGTACTCCCCAGGCACTGCATGCGGGAGACTTGCAGCGTGAGCACGATCTCTTTGTTTTTTCTAGCTCTACACAGATCCTCTCTCTCCCCCAGTTCTGTCTCTGCTGTGCGTCCACGCCAAACCTCCGGCGCCAACGCTTCATCCGAATCACCTGAAATGACTCAGCTCAAGAATCCTGACCCCCCCAAACCCTGAACCCTACCCTAAACCCTAACACCTAAACCCAACTCCTGCACAAACCTGAGAAGAACAATGACTTGATCATTTAGAAAAGGGCTTCGGGGTATGATGTAGTACACATTAAACACGGACAATGAGGGGATTCTATGACTCATTCTCCCGCCCTCTCTCTCTATCCCTCTCTCTCTCTCTCTCTCTCTCTCTCTCTCGCCCTCTATATACATATATGCACACATACACATACATAGCTGTGTACCATAAAGATTAACGAATGTATGTGTATATATATATATATGTTGATTTATTTGTTCATCTGTTTGTTTATCAGTAGTAGTAGTAGTAGTTGTACTACTACTACTACTACCACCACCACTACCACTGCTACTGCTACTGCTAATACATTATCTTATATCTATATATGTATACACGTAGTTATTTATGTATATTCGACCCTCTAAACTCCAAACTTGGGCCTGTGGCCTTGGCCCGAAGGACCGAGCCTAACATGCCTCACACATTGACATTTCTGTAAACGCTGGACTAGAAAAAACGACAAAACAAAAAAATAAACCCATAAACCCTAAACCCTACACCCTAAATCCATAGGCCCTAAACCCTAACTCCTGAATCTAACCCTACCCTTCTCCACAAGCCCTTGGGTGCCTGGAGAAGTGGCCGGAGAAGGTTCTGCTGCCTCTGCTACCTCCTCTGGCGACTCCTGGGGACGTGCTTCTTTGTTGATTGTATGGGTTTAGGGTTTAGGGTTTAGGGATATTTTTTGTATTCATGTTCTTATCATCAAGTATATGTAGTACTTTAAAGTGGTAAAGGCAATTGGGGCCCCTGTTCTTGGGATTTCGGTCTCCGGGGGGTAACCCAAGATTCTAAGAGAGGGGGGGAGGATCTGACCTTCAAGGCCCTAGCCCTAACATAGGAGCCTTTGCAATCAAAATGTGGTTTTGGGGTACATCATAGTCTTGGTGTAAGTATACCAAGGAATTCGACCCAACAGATCCCAAACGCTGTCGATCAAGAATGATTTGGGATCTGCGGGCCATGTTTCAGAATTGCACCTCTCTCTACCTCACACTCTCACTCGGAACTCGGGAGTAGGGTCGGGGCATCGATGACCAGACTCAGAGTGCTGCGCGATTGACAGCAAGCTGCTACGACAAACCATCCCCAAAATTCGTCACGCGAGACACCTGCAAGTAGCAACGAACTTTCCACTCGTGTGCACACCCGCAAACCCCATAATTAGCAGCATGCGCCGTCTCTTGGGGTGCTGCATGATGGCGGCGGCTGCTGCTGCTGCTGCCGAGCCACTGCAATGATTGCACATAAAGGTATCACTGCCGTACGGACTCGACAGATGCTAAGCTCCTCGAGGGTAACCGGGGCAGCCGAAGCGGTTCCTGCCAGCCCAGGTCCGGCTTTCAAGAGCCATTGGCTTCACATTTCTTTCCATGTACTTGCAGTGTAGAAACGCTCCAAAAATGTCAAAAGGTGGTGGTGACAAAAACCGAAGAGGATGACGGCTGTTCTGAAGTATTCACGGCGTTGTCTTTCGAATCTCCGGGGCACGTCCGCCGCGATACGCTTACAAAGACGGAACTTGCAAAACAAGTCAGCCTAATGCTGCCTAAGGTTGGGGGGTGGGGCATTTCAGAATGACCAAAAGCACCCACAACTTCGATTGGGCTCCATGCGCCAAAATATCGACACTCTATAGTGCCCAAGCCCTATCATCCCAACCCCGCCCCCCCCCTGAAAAGAAGACTAGAACAACCTTTACCACCGAACAAACTCAGACCGCTGCGGTAGACTCCAAAACCATAGCACCCCCAAATCATGAACCCTTCTGAACTCTTTGGTCACTCTTATGCAACCCTTAAGAGCTCTTGCCGAGTACTTATACTAGGGTCCCCATTAACCCCCCCTACATGATGAGGGTACCCTTTTTCTTGATAGGCGGTTTTAATACGAGAACCCCGGAATAAAAAGGGCAAAAGGGTACTGCTGGGGAACCAAAACCAACCCCCCCAGACTCCTGAACTCAACAAGGGCCCGCCTGCTGAGACGGGGCTGGCAGAGCTTGGTGTGCCGTCCTCGAGGTCGTAGGAGTACCTTCAACATGAGGGGCAACTAGGGGGGCTTTACCTAAAGCCCAAACCCTAAGCCGTGAGCTTGAACCGGAGGGCTGTTCGTAGATTTGATTTGCGTAGGAGTTGATAGTGTTTTTTTTTTTGGGGGGGGGG